TGACGATGTTGCCGCTGATGATGATGATAATGATGATGATGATGATGATGATGATGATGATGATGATGATGATGATGATGATGATGATGATAATGATGATGATTTCGATGTTCACGATAGTGATGATGATGATGCTGGTGATGATGCTGATGATGATTGCGATGCTGATGCTGCTGATGATGGTAATGGTGATGCAGATGGTGATGACGATGCTGCTGATGTTTGGAACGACGACGACGACAACGATGATGATGCCGATGGTGGTGGTGGTGGTGGTTGGCGATGCTAGTGGTGGTGGTGATGATGGTGGTGGTGGTCATGGTGATGACGGTGGTGATGATGATGATGATGCTGGTGCTGACGGTGTTGACGGTGATAGTGGTGGTGGTGGTGGTGATGTCTGTGTCGGGGGTGAAGCTGTTGACTACGATGATGGTGGTGGTGGTGGTGGTGGTGCAGATGATGACGATGATGATGCTGATGATGACGATGATGATGATGGTGATGTTGATGATGATGATGATGATGATGATGATGATGATGATGACGGCTGTGGTGATGTTGCCGATGATGATGGCCATGCTGATGATGACGACGATGACCACGACGATAGTGGAAGTGGTGATTGTTGTGGCGGTGGTGGTGCCATTGACTATGCTGGTGGTGGTTTCGTTGGTGCAGGTGATGACGGTGGTGATGATGCTGGTGATGGTTGTGATAGTGCTGGTGATGCTGATGGTGGTGGCGATGGTGATGTGGATGCTGATGATGATTGTGATCGTGATGGTGATGGTGATGATGATGACGATGATGCTGATGATAACGACGACGATGATGAAGATGGTGGTTGTGGGTGATAGTGGTTGTGGGGGTGGTGGTGATGGTGGTGGTGGTGGTGATGCTGTTGACGTTGGTGATGATGATGGCGATGATGATGCAGACGATGATAGGGGGGGTGGTGGTGATGGTTGTGGCGGTGGTAATGCTGTTGACTGTGATAATTGTGGTGATTCTGGTGAAGATGATGATGACGATAATGATGATGGTCATGGTGAATGTGGTGGTGATGTCGATGGTGCTGATGATGAGGAGGATGATGGTGATGGTGCTGGTGATGGTGTTGGTGAAATTGGTCATGATGATGCTGCTGATGGCGGCGACGACGACGATGATGATGAGGATGGTGGTGGTGGTGGTGGATGGTGGTGGTGATGATGGTAGTGGTGGTGGTGATAGATACGGCGGTGGTGATGATGATGATGATGATGATGATGATGATGATGATGATGATGATGATGATGGGGGTGCTGATGCTGACGATGGTAGTGGTGGTGGTGATGGTTGTGGCAGTGGTGTGTGTGTGTGTGTGTGTGTTAACTAGCATGATGATGATAACGGTGCAGACTACGACGGTGATGATGATTCTGATGGTGGTGAGGATGATGATGATGCTGATGATGATGTTGATGTTGATGCTGATTATGAGGATCATGATGATGATGATGATGATGATGATGATGGTGGTGGTGGTGGTGGTGGTGGTGGTGGTGCAGATGATGACGCTGATGGTTGTGGTGGGCATGATGACTGAGGAGGGACGCGTCATCGCCAGGTTGGTAGGTGGAGGAGGAGGAGAAGGGGGAGGATGAGGAGGAGGTGGGGGACCAGTGTAAACCCAAGACTCATCAACGATGTTGGAATACACCCTCCAAGCTCCCTCTTCATAGGCCCTTACAAGGGTCCATTTCCACTGAGGGAAGCGTCCTGTTCGGGTTCAAACGTGTGCACTTCCTGGAGCGTGCGACATCTTAGGGCTTCAACGCCACAAGTCGACCAGACTGTTGCGTCTGGACGATCCTGAATCGCGTCAGAACACCATTCCTGGGACTTGAGCACCGCGAGTATACATACCTGATGCGCACTGACAGTCCCGAATCGTTCCAAAACACCGTTTCTGGTTCGTTAACCATGAGCATTACTGGAGCTCTTGTGATCTTTCAAAACGAATGTTCGGGGCGCTAGAGCGAGAGCCACATTTTGAAAAGGAGCCATCCTCAATCTGTGAAGCGCTTCCACATTTTGAAATCGAAAGTGTGCGGCGCTAAGGTACAGCCACATTTTGAAAACCACCCGCCCTCAATGTGTGAAGCGATAACCACACTTGAACACGACCCGCTTCCAATTTCAGGTCAGGTCTTCTTACACTTGTTTCGTGCGAGTGTGCGTGCGGCGCGAAGGCGAGAACCACCTTTTGAAAGTGACCCGCCTTCTATATGTGAAACTGTTTCCAGTCTTAAAGCTTCAGGCACATAAGCGGTAAGGAAGTCTCAAGCGAAACGCCTTGCTCGCCCTTCCGACTGGCTTCTTGGTGCGACAGGGAGGAGTTATTCACAAGGAGAAGGAATGGAGGAGGATGCGGAGAAGGAAGAGGAGCACGAGGGGGGGGGGGAGGAGGAGTGGGAGCAGGGGGCATATCGGGAAGGAGGGAAGCGGGGGCGCAGCGGGAGGCGGGGGAGGATGGCGCTTCGCCTGGTGCGACGGACGTGCTGCAGGTGATGAGTTCTGGACGGGCGTCACCCTCTCGTAGACAGCAGCACCACCGCGCCCGCCCCTGGCCAGGCATGGTGGAGGTGTACGGGTTCGGTGTGGGCGCGGGAGGGCCGTGCCGAGTCGACGCGGCGGCGTCCCTCGTGCGGACGTCCAACGGTGAATTGACGCTGGCGGCCCGGCACCTGCCGACATCGAGCGGTCCGCGCTGTCGGGTGTCGGGCAGCGCGGGTCGCTCGAGGCTGAACGATCCACGCAGCGCCAGAAGTCAATGCCGAAGTCGTCACGACACGAACCTGCCGTGGGTGCGAAGCATGCCCCAGTCCCGAAGCACCGGAGCTCCTGGCTTTTTCCCATCCTTCCGTCCCACGAAGCAAAGCTACGCGCCACCAGCTTGCGAGGCGTAGCGTGTCGCAGGGGCTGCCGCAGCGACACGCTTAGCGAACGTTCCTTACCGTAGACGTAGGCATTCCATGTTTTTGTTCGAGGGTCTATGGAAGTCCGGACCCTTTCCCCAGGGCCGGTTTTTCAATCCGAGTGTTTTTTGGACGGTCCCGAGTCCCGGCGAGGGTTCTAGAGGGTGAAACGGCCAAAAACCTTCCGACGCGTTTTTTTTCTCAATGCGAGGGGGCGTGGGCTGGCGAAAGTTCCTCACTGTAGGTGCGTCCTGCGCATTCATCGGAGCGCACAGGTGTTTCGGCTTTATGTTGCTATGCATTGCCTTGTATCGCTCTGAATCGCTTTGCATCTTGCAGTCTGGAGTTATGCGTCCATTTGCTACCGCATGTTTCTGGAAAGAGCCTGTTTCTGGAAGGTTGCCAGGAGGAGGAAGACAGGAACAGGACATGATGGGCGAGCGATGGGCCCAAGTCGGTAGACGGGCTAGCGGTGTTTTACGTAACGGCGTGGTAGGTTTCGGCATTGTAGGTGGGAATGGTCCGTGGCCACACCAATTGTAGGCAAGCGTGGATCGTGCTCTCCTGCACTTCGCTCTTTCGTTTCCGTTCCATATTCTTGCATATCTACTATGTAGGAACGCGTGGTTCGCGGCTTCTTGCATTTGTTTCTGCGCGCGCTCAGTATCACAAGAACAAGATTTTCGATCACGGTTTTAATCAGCGGTGGGGGGTACAAGTAGCCATAGTTAAGCAGGCAGGGGAAGAAGAACATGTACTTGATCAGCCATGTTCAGCATGCTTAATCAGCGGCGAGCCCGGGGGGAAGTGAGAAGGGGCAGGCCTTCTCAGAAGGCTCGGAAGTGCCCCGGGCTTCTCAGAGGTTTTCGGAGCCTTCCCCCAAGACACAGACCACCTCTCAGAAGCCCCGCCGCCTTTGAGAAGGGAGGAGGAGGAGGAGGAGGAGGAGGAGGAGGAGGATGAAGAGGAGGAGGAGGAGGAGGAGGAGGAGGAGGAGGAGGAGGAGGAGGAGGAGAAGGAGGAGGAGGAAAGTCCCGCCGCTTTCTTAGCAGGCCTTCTCCCTCTCGGCGCCCCCCCTCGCTCGCCGCCGAGCAGGGCACGAGGCTCGGCGAGGAGGGGGCCCCGAGCTCCCGGGCCGCCCACACCCTGAGCAGAGCAGCTCGAGAAGCGGAGGCGCTCGAGCTCAGTCTCGTTCAACAAGGGCGCCCTCGAGGGCGCGCAGTTACTCGCGCTTCGCGCTTCGTGGTTTGGCTCCGATCCCTCCTCGTCCTCCTCTTCTCCCCTGGGAGGCGGCGCGAGAGCGCGAAGTTGTTCGCACTTCGCGCTTCGCGCTTCGCGCAGCGCGAAGCGCGAAGTTGGGAGCCCTTGTTCAACCGATCCCTATCCCCATGCCCATCCCCATCTCGACCCCATCATCCCACCACCCCAGGGGAGCAGCCTGCACCCCCGCCCAGGGGGGGGGGTACCATCGGCCAGTGGGCCCAGGCCACGCCGGTGGGGATGGGGATCGGCGAGGCGCTGCTCGCGAGCACCCCCCCCCAAATCCAAGAGAAGACCCTCGCCCGCCGCGGAGCCTGGCCCTGTTCAGGTGCACGAGCTGGTGGCCGGCGCGCTGTCGGCCCAGCAGCGCCAGGACGCCGCCTGGCTCTCGGACTCGCTGGACACGGGCGCGCAGGCGCTGGCCCTCGCCGCGGCGGCCGCGCTGGCCCTCCGCGGGCGCTCGGTGCCGGCCGTGGCGGCCGCGGCCTCCGCGCCTCTGGGCCTGCAGGCCTGGCGCCACTGGGCTCGCGTGCTCTCGCTCAGCTTCGGTGGGCCCATGTTCCACCACCGCCACCAGGAGTTGGAGGGGGGGAGGGAGGAGGAGGAGGAGGAGGAGGAGGGGAGGAGGAGGAGGAGGAGGAGGAGGAGGAGGAGGAGGAGGAGGAGGAGGAGGAGGAGGAGGAGGAGGAGGAGGAGGAGGAGGAGGAGGAGGAGGAGGAGGAGGAGGAGGAGGAGGAGGAGGAGGAGGAGGAGGAGGAGGAGGAGGAGGAGGAGGAGGAGGAGGAGGAGGAGGAGGAGGAGGAGGAGGAGGAGGAGGAGGAGGAGGAGGAGGAGGAGGAGGAGGAGGAGGAGGAGGAGGAGGAGGAGGAGGAGGGCCCTCTCCCCCTCCAACTGATGGTGGCGGTGGTGGAAAACAGGACCATCAAACTTCGGGCCCCGAAACCCTCACATATCGATCCGACTCGAAGAGTTATTCAGAAAGGCCGTGATTTTCTGCGACGTGGCACTTTTTTGGGCGTCGTCGGACCTCAGGGATGGGCACGACCCCCACCTCAACTCGTGATGAAAAATCTCGGCGGCGAGCGAGGGGGGGAAGTGAGAAGGAGGAGGCCTTCTCAGAAGGCGGCGGGGCTTGTCAGAAGCCCTCCGGCCTCCTGAGAAGCTCGCGCGCAGAGGGGTGTAGGGGGGGGGGTGGAAGGCTTCTTAGAAGCACCCCCGCTTCTTAGAAGGCGCGGGCCTTGTCTATCGATATAGGACTGGCGCCTTCTAAGAAGCAGCCTCCTCCTAAGAAGCCTTCCGCCCTCCCCAGAACTCGCTGTGAAAAATCACTACGGCGGGTTGTTGGCAATTTTCGGTTTCTGGGGGCCCTCGCCGGGCCCCATGACCGTCAAAGAACTGCTCAGGACCAAAAGCGATCCGGGGGAAGTGGTCTAGACCTCCAAGGGTCCCGTTGCGAAATGGGCACGACGTGACATCCCGGGAGATCCGGGCGTTGCGCGTTTTTCGCGCTGGGCGCTCTCGCCAGGTTCCGGCCCTGGGGCCACCGCAGGTCTAAGGCCTCGCGGGCGGGCAGGTATCCATATCCACCGCTCCCCGAGGCCCCAGGGACACGACCCCGCGGCAGTGGAGAGGCACGCTCTCTGGCGGTGTACCTGCCCATTTGGAGCAGGGCTCGCTGTCGGCGTCCCCGCGGGCGCTGGGCAGTCTCGGGCAGACGCCGCTCGTCCGACGGCGGCCGCGGGCCGGTTCTGGATGGCGCTCCCTGGCATCCGATGTTTCGTTTTTTTTCCTTACCGTCGGCCCCCAGAGGTTTCCACCCTTCTCCCGGGACTGGCATTTCATCCCGAGTCGTGTACTGAACGCCCGCGCTGGGGTCGGCGCCGCGCTGACAGGCCCCAGCCGCGTTGACGCGACACGAAGCAAAGCCCCCGGACATCATGATTGTTTCCTTGGCGTCGGCCCCCAGAGGTCTCCACCTGTTCCCTGGGCCTGGCTCCTCATCCCGAGTCGTTCCTTGATGGTCCTGGGGACCCGGACATCATGATTTGTTCATGGCGTCGGCCCCCAGAGGTCTCCACCTGTTCCCTGGGACTGGCTCTTCCTCCCGCGTCGTCCCTCGACGGCCCTGGGGCCCGGCGAGGGCCCTCAGAGGCCGCAGAGCCGTCCGCCGCTCTCCACGACGCGAGGGCCCCCAGAGGCCGAGCGCCCTCCGTCTGGATCTCCCCCGGCGCCTCGAGGGGGCCCTGGGCCCGCTGCTCCGCCTGCTCGCTTCGGGGGCCCTCCCGGTGCCCACCTGACGGCTCTGTTCGGCTCCAGCCCGACCCCAGCTCGACTCGAGTTGGACCCAGGCCCGACCCAAGTTCGACTCGGGTTAGACTCGGGGTCGCTTCAGTCTCGACTGCGGCTCGGCTCGAGTCGGCGGGCGCTCGACGCAGCCTCGGCGCACGAGCGGAGCGATTGGCTCCAAGAAGGCCCCCAGGATGAGCATCTAATGCTGTTGGGCACCGTCGCCCCTCGCTCTTTCCGCCCCCACGTCGCGCGTGCCACGCAGGGCGTCAGGGTGATCTACCGGGCGCTCAAGGCGGGCGTGGGGCGCGCCAGGCCGTCCCCGAAGGGCCGGAGGGCGCCGCGTGCACCAGCTGGCCGAGGCCACCGGAGAGGGTCTACGTGTGCGCCCCTCCCTGGGGGCCTTTGGGGCGGCTCCGGCCTGGCACCGCTGCGGTGGGCAGGTGCCTCCCCTGAGGTCCGACGTTGCCAAGCGATTTTTGCGTTATCGCGAAAAATCACGAGCCCTAGTACCCTGAGATCCTGGCGCCTCAGTTTTTCCGAGCCCGTCAATTTCGTTTCGTTTCGGGCCCCGGGACCCTTACAGATCGATGTGGTTCGAAAAAATGATGCACAAAGACAGGGTCTACTTGGATGTTGCGAATGTTTCGCTACGTCGGATCTCATGTTTAGGAGGTCCGCGGGGATGTCTCCCAGACATGTCCGCGCCGTGAACAGTTATCCCGGCGAAGCAACCTAACAGCGATGTGTAGGAGCATATTTGGAAGCATTCCCCTTAAGATTCAGATGAGAATCCAGTTGCAGAATTCTGCTGTTCTCGCAGTCGCAGTCGCATTCGCGATGACAGTCGCAGTGGCAACGGCAGTCGCAGTCACAGCCTCAGCCTCAGCCTGCCTCAGCATCAGCCTGCCTCAGCCTCAGCCTCGGCCTCAGCCTCAGCCTCAGCCTCAGCCTGCTCAGCCTCAGCCTCAGCCTCCTCAGCCTCAGCCTCGGCCTCAGCCTCAGCCTCAGCCTCAGCCTCAGGCCTCAGCCTCAGCCTGCCTCAGCCTCAGCCTGCCTCAGCCTCAGCCTCAGCCTGCTTCAGCCTCAGCCTCAGTCTGCCTTCAGCCTCGGCCTCAGCCTCAGCCTGCCTCAGCCTCAGCCTGCATCAGCCTCAGCCTCAGCCTCAGCCTGCCTCAGCCTCAGCCTGCAGCCTCAGCCTCAGCCTGCCTCAGCCTCAGCCTCAGCCTGCTTCAGCCTCAGCCTCAGTCTGCCTTCAGCCTCGGCCTCAGCCTCAGCCTGCCTCAGCCTCAGCCTGCATCAGCCTCAGCCTCAGCCTCAGCCTGCCTCAGCCTCAGCCTGCCTCAGCCTCAGCCTCAGCCTGCTTCAGCCTCAGCCTCAGTCTGCCTTCAGCCTCGGCCTCAGCCTCAGCCTGCCTCAGCCTCAGCCTGCATCAGCCTCAGCCTCAGCCTCAGCCTGCCTCAGCATCAGCCTGCCTCAGCCTCAGCCTCAGCCTGCCTCAGCCTCAGCCTCTGCTTCAGCCTCAGCCTCAGTCTGCCTTCAGCCTCGGCCTCAGCCTCAGCCTGCCTCAGCCTCAGCCTGCATCAGCCTCAGCCTCAGCCTCAGCCTGCCTCAGCATCAGCCTGCCTCAGCCTCAGCCTCAGCCTGCCTCAGCCTCAGCCTCAGCCTGCTTCAGCCTCAGCCTCAGTCTGCCTTCAGCCTCGGCCTCAGCCTCAGCCTGCCTCAGCCTCAGCCTGCATCAGCCTCAGCCTCAGCCTCAGCCTGCCTCAGCATCAGCCTGCCTCAGCCTCAGCCTCAGCCTGCCTCAGCCTCAGCCTCAGCCTGCTTCAGCCTCAGCCTCAGTCTGCCTTCAGCCTCGGCCTCTCAGCCTCAGCCTGCCTCAGCCTCAGCCTGCATCAGCCTCAGCCTCAGCCTCAGCCTGCCTCAGCCTCAGCCTCATCAGCCTCAGCCTCTCTGCCTTCAGCCTCGGCCTCAGGCTCAGCCTGCCTCAGCCTCAGCCTGCATCAGCCTCAGCCTCAGCCTCAGCCTGCCTCAGCATCAGCCTGCCTCAGCCTCAGCCTCAGCCTGCCTCAGCCTCAGCCTCAGCCTGCTTCAGCCTCAGCCTCAGTCTGCCTTCAGCCTCGGCCTCAGCCTCAGCCTGCCTCAGCCTCAGCCTGCATCAGCCTCAGCCTCAGCCTCAGCCTGCCTCAGCATCAGCCTGCCTCAGCCTCAGCCTCAGCCTGCCTCAGCCTCAGCCTCAGCCTGCTTCAGCCTCAGCCTCAGTCTGCCTTCAGCCTCAGCCTCAGCCTCAGCCTGCCTCAGCCTCAGCCTGCATCAGCCTCAGCCTCAGCCTGCCTCAGCAGTCAAAATGTGGCCCCGGAATGGAGTTGTGGGAACTCGAAGAACACGAAGTGGCCTACAGTTGGCTCCGGGCATTCAAAATCATGCCCAGGAATGGAGTTCTGAGAACTCGAAGATCAGGAAGTGGCCTACAGTTGGCTCCGGGCATTCAAAATCATACCCAGGAATGGAATTCTGGGAACTCGAAGACCACGAAGTGGCCGACAGTTGGCTCCGGGCATTCAAAATCATGCCCAGGAATGGAGTTCTGGGAATTCGAAGACCACGAAGTGGCCGACAGGAATGGAGTTCTGGGACCTCGAAGACCACGAAGTGTGTAACTGTTTGCTTAAAACGACTTCCGCGGATTCTCCTCGGATCCTGCCTGGACCCCCCTGAGGAGTCATGATGCTATCTTTTGAGACCATTAGAAACCTATCAGTCTTCGCTGTTAGGTAAAAATCACGACGGGAGTTGGCCGTTTTCGCCCTCCGGGGGCCCTCGCTGGGCCCCATGACCGTCTAGGAGCGACTCGGGATGAGAAGCCGGCCTGCGGACGGGAACTCGTGGACATCGCGTCGCTCCACCAGATCTGGCCCACCACGCTTCGGCGCGACGTGCCCATTACCCATTGCGCGGTGCCCAGGCCTCCACGTGCCGAGCTTTCTCAAGCCTCCCACCCTGCGGAGCGTAGCGACACGCTGCCCGCTTGCCAAGGCACAGCGTGTTGCCGGGGGCCGCCGTGACGACAAGCTTTCCAAGCAGGGGTGGAGGAGGAGGAGGAGGAGGAGGAGGAGGAGGAGGAGGAGGAGGAGGAGGAGGAGGAGGAGGAGGAGGAGGAGGAGGAGGAGGGTGTAGGGGGACAGGGTCGGGATAGCCTGAGGTCCAACGTTGCAAAAGCGCTGCAGCATCGCAAGAAAGCCCGACCGGAGCCCTGCACCCGAGGCCCGAGAGGCTCGAGGGGCCGCGGGCCGAGGCTCGCCGAGGCCCGAGATGCTCGAAGGCCGGCGCTCCTGGCTCGGCCTGGGGCCCTCCTCCCCGCCCCCCCCCGGGCGGCTCCCAGGACCGTGGCTCGATTGCCGAGGCTCCTCTTTCTCCTCCTCCTCCTCCTCTCCTCCTCTGCTCCTCCTCCTCCTCCTCCTCCTCCTCCTGCTCCTGCTCCTGCTCCTGCT